ACAAAACAAACTCACGGAAGTTTTGATAGTAAATTGGCTTAGAATTTGAAAATCATATATATAACATAACAAAAAAAAACTTTATCTTTGTTATTCTTTCATTTTTTGAAATACTTTTTTTTTATTATAATATTTTTAAATTCAAATTGTGCTCGAATTTAAAATTTATTGTAATTTAATTGTAATTATTATTTTTTATGTTTAGATTTAATATAAATTAAAAATGATTTTATTTTTAAATCTTCTTCTGATATCTTTTGTGTAATTTTTGGTTTATTTAATCATAAGTTTTTTTAAATTTATTTTTTAATTCTTTTCTTTTTTATTTTCCTATTTTTAATTGGTTTTTAATTTATTTTTTGATTTGTTTTATCTTATATATATTTATTTATACTGTTCATTTCTAACTTTTTCTTTTACATATTTATTTTTGTTATTCCTAGTTTAATTTTTTTTTTGTTTTTTTTTTTAGATTTATTTTTTATTTGGTATTAATCTTTTATTTCGGAAAATTCTTACTTTATTTTAATTTTTTATTTATTATAAGATTTCATTTTTATATTTTTATTTAATTATTTTGAAACTTCTATGTACATTCTATTAACTATTTACCTATTATTATTATTTTTATTTTTTATGTTTAAAATTTGTTAATTTTTTCTGTTTTATTAGATTTTTATATTCTAGTTTTTTATTTTATTTTTTTTTATTTTAGTTTTTTGTATTTTATTTATTTTCTTTATTTTATTTTTTTATATTATTTTTTTTATTTCCTTAATTGATTTTACTCAAAATCTTTTATGTGCATTTATTTAATGTTCAAGTTTATATTATTTTATTTTTGAGTTTTTTATAATATAATCTGTTTTATTATCTTTTTCTTTTCTAAATTTTAGTCTTTTCAATTTTTATTACTATAATAATAATAAATATTATCTATCTTTTTATCGTTATTATTTTTATTATTATTATTATTTTATTTTTAATATAACTTTTTATTTCAATATTCTTTTTATTATTTATTATTATTATTATTATTATTATTATTATTATTATTATTATTTTTTTTTTTTATATTATTATTATTATTTTATTATTATTGTTTTTCTTATTATTATTATAACTTTTATATTATTATTAGTATGTATTAATAATATTATTTATTATTATTATTATTATTATTTTTATTAATATTATTTATTATTATTATTATATGTAATATTTTTAAAATGGTTTTTTAATTATTTTTTTTTTTATTTTATGTGAATTTTTTTCATTTTGATGGTTTTTAATTTTATTTTATTTAAATTTATTATTATATTTTTTATATAATCTATCTTACTTCTTTTTAATTTCTTATTTTCTTTTTATTTGTTACTAATTTCATTTACTTAATTGCTTCTTTTTAGTTTTTTTTTTAATTTTTTTTTTTAAATTTATCTTTTTATTTGCTTTCATTTATTGATATTTAATATGGTTGAGAGTTTTATTAATTTTTTGCGTTATTTAATAAATTCTGATTGTTATATTTCTTGTTTTTATGATTTCATATATTTTATTTTTATGATTTTTTTATATTTTTTATTATATTTTATAATTTACTATTTTTATTTATTTATGTCTAACCTTTTTAAATAAATTTTTTATATTTTTACGCTTTTTTTAAATTGAATTTTGTTATTATTTTTTACTTTTCTCTGTTTAGTTAAATTTTTTTAAGGTTTTTAATTGGATTTTTATTTACTTCTTTCTTGTTTTTATTTTTGAATGATTTTTCCCTCAATATTTTCTGTTTATTTTTTTAATATTTAATTTTTTTAATAAAATTTCTTAGGTTTATATTTTTTGATGTAATGATTTTATTTTTATTTTGTATATTTTTCAATTATTATTTTTTTTAGTAAGTTTTTTCTTTTTATGTTATATTTTTCTTTAGATTTATTTATTTATTTTTCAACGAAACTTAAGGCCTTGAAAATTTCCAAAACAAAATAAAATAAATGAAAATATGCCTATTTGCCCATCGATTATAATAAATTAGATATCTAATCGGTGGAAAGACTACAAAGAGCTAAAAAAAAATATATTTCTTACCTTCCTTATCTTATCTCTCAAAAAAAAAACAGTAATACAAATAAGCAAACAAATAAAATATAAAATCACAAAATATTTATTTTCATCTACAAATTTATAAATTTTATAAAAATAACATCACCACTCCCTGGCACTATCTAAAAAAATGTCTGCCCATAGAACTAACCCAAATGCATTGTTATTGCTTTTCGCCGAAAAACATCACCTTTCTTTATTCGTTATCTGTAATATTTATGTGCTTCGACTCTAACGTCCCATCCCATCGTGCCATCACTCGTGGGGCAGTAATTACGTTTAATATGTTTTCGCTAATCAATCATTTTATTGTTTTTGTATGTCACTGTCAACCGAGAGGCGTCTAAACAACCATAGCATTGTACAATAGATAGTAAGCCGTCTCTCGTAGCCCAGCGGAAACGATGGTTTGGAACGAGGGTTATGCTCGTACTCGCTCTCTCGTATTGTGTGTGTCGTTTAACCTTTCGTACGTCCCGTTTTGCTTTTTGTTTGTTGTGTTTGTTCGTTTTTATAGACGATTGTGTGTTTCTGTTTTCTGTTCTCTTACTTTTTTGAAAAACTTTAATTCTTTTTTCTACTTTTTTATTGCTTTAATTTTTATCTTTATCATTTTTATACACTTTTTTTTTAACTATGCAGCTGTTCGTTTTGTTGTCTATTCTGTTTATGCTTGATTTTCGGGTGTGTTTTTCATATTTTTTATTTGTTATATGACGGCTGATAAGCTCTCGACTAGAGGCTGATAAAGACATACATACAGAGTCCAACGCAATTATTTGCCTTCAAAAGTAAAAGAACTTAAAAATGTTTGGATATCATTTTGGAGCGCGTGTACTCAGAGAGTCCTTATAAGAAAACTTCTTCCTTTTAAACCATATAATTTAAAAGAGAGAAAGAGAGAGAGGTAAGGAGAGGGAGGTCAAGCCCCTAGCATCTAGGTTCGATATTACTTACATCTAAGGCAAAATATTTTGCTTTCAACAGTCCAATAAGTCTAATATGCTATGCTCCTAGTTGATTCAAAGGATCTAGGTCTCTTCATAGATTTTAGAATTTAATTCACGTAAGTCTGTAGAAAATATCTCTTCCTTTCCTATTTGAAATAATAGGAAAGACTCAACTGAAGCGAGTTGTTTTGGTTTGGCACAAGGGTTTGATGAGTAAATCTTCAGATACTCTCCCTCGCTTCATAAAACCATAACAGATTTGTTCCGACATTAAATCTAAAACCAAATAAATTCTTATCACGTTCAATTAAACCAAATACTTACGGTTCAACATGATCTAAGAGACTAAGGTCTCTAGAAAAAAAAAATAGAAGCTAAACAAAAAGCGCAAGCCATCAGAGAATCACCACTAATTTCTCTCCATTTGTTAGTTCATACGATGAATCAGCCAAAACTCAAGGCAAAGAAACAATAGATTGTATGAGAGAGGGAGAGAATTTTTTGGGCTTTTGGATATTGGATTGATGTTTAGAGGCTCTTAAAAGCTACATAAAGCCATAAAAAACACAAAACGTTAAAACAGACTCAAGAGGTTTAGGCCTCTATACAAAATATGGAAGGTAGAAAAGATTCTTTGAGCCATTGAACAAAAACTTGATGGGTAAAATCCACAGATACTTCACTTCTCTTCGTAAAGCAAAATCATATTAAGTCTTTTAACCATATAGGAAGATTAAAGAGTTTAACTTAGACTCAAGTCATGAGAAACTTAAGTGCGTCGAGAATACCAAACCTGCAAACCCTCGAAATCCTCTCCAAAACTCCATCACTTCTTAAAGTATAGCTATGATGGGGGCCGCAGATCACATTAGAGTCGAATTCTTGGACGAAGAATACTATAATTTCTAGCAGTTAAGTCGCACGGTTGACTTACAGCAATATCAAGAACTGCGCTGGACTTCCAACGATCTACAGGATAGGGCAAACAGCACAAACTCAAATGAGGGGCTCTTGTCCACAGAGCCGTAGAGGAAAGCTCTAAGGCAGAGGCGAACTGATAAGGATAAACAATAAGAACATAAAGAACGGCTTGATATTCATTTTACTATAAGCAATGCGTACTAGTGATAAATCCACCTTGACTCGTCCGGAATGGGATGCCAAAAGGTCACTATAAATGTACTTTTACGCAATGAAAGGCCATCTCTAAGGCTTGTAGGACACTGCTCAGTGGGAAAACCGCTGGATGTGTTCCTTTTTAAGAGATATTGCAGCAAGTGCAAGAATGTTAGGGACTGTAAAGCTTACTGAACGGGTCAATATCCTCTTAATCATCACTGAAAATTGATTTTTAAATACAAAGAACTCTTACTTTTAAATGCGAGATCTCTTCAGGCAATATCTTAAGAGATTTTTACTTCTGAAAACGTTTCCTCAACCCCTTTGGTACATCTGAGACTGAGCAAACTTGAAGAATATCGAAGAAAATAAGTCTCGCAGAGATAGAGGGAAAGAGAAATTGAGCTGAAGCACAAAGAGACATGTTTTTGTAGTCAAAGTTTAACATAAATACCCAGGCTGCACTAAACTAAGATCTTCAGAGATTTCGGCATTATTAAACATATACCTAGCAGTGCATCCTACCAGGCTTAGGAACAAGAGTTCGAACCCGGCCCAAAAAAAGTCAGTCAGAAGTCGGTACAACATCCCATAGGAGGTTCCAAGAGATTAGAAGCAAGCCGACTGAAACCAAGATCTCTTGAGACAATATCTTGAGTCTAATCAAGAGATATGGAACCATCCTTAAATCAGAACGAAGAAAATCCGCTTGAAAAGCGCCAGAGATCGTAAGAAATGAAATCTAAAAAAAACTTTCCGAAAGTTGAAAGTACCAAGAGGCCACAGCTCCTTTCGTTCTACACTTTTTTCGTGCTAACTCACCCGAATGATGTCCGGCATCATCGTCTTCTGCCGTACCACTACACGTCATCGTGCCGGTTTCCCTCAGCTGCTGTTGACTACTGCAAGTCGTGTCCAGCTCACGCAACGAGCTATCCTGTTGCTCAACGTGTAACTCAGCCGCTGCCGAGCAATTCAATGGTATATCCAATATCTTAAAACGTTCCCGTATCAATGTCGTACATTGTTCCGAACGAAAATATGTTTCCAGCTCATCCAAGGCCAATGGACAAACATCATAATTCAAATAGAAATCTTTACCCCAACTGCCCGAGCAGTCGATTACCGAATTCCCGCCACTCATATTAGCCGACGCAGACGCGGACGCGGACGCGTTGGTTGACGACTGTTGGATGTGTTGTTGATGTTGACTGGCGATCGATTTGAGTAGAGAATTGTTACGTGACAATTTCGTTGAATGTGCGCGACGTATAAAACTGAGTGATTTCTTTGCTGGTGACGTCACCACCACTGACGACGACGACGCTGACGACGAGCACGCAGCCTGCACTGGTGGTGAGGTAATCGTTGTATCAGAACTAAAACTTTTCGTTGCCTTCGATTTGGTATGTTCTGCGCTGGAGCCCGATTGACTTATGGGCAACTTAGACGTGGACTTGAGCAGGAATAAATGTTTGGGTGGAAATGTTTGTGTTATCAGTGATGTTGATGAGCTGTGCGCGAGTTTATTATGTTGTGTGACAGTTGGGTGACCACCTTTAGCACACGCGTTATGACCGCTGTTCGACGCAGCACCAGCGCCGATATGACTCGCAACACTGCCACCAAACAAGTTATGATGTACTTTACTTAACGGCGCGATGAGACGTAAAGCAGCGCGGGTTGAGCTCGTGCCGCCACTACCACTACCACCCGCCGTCGTTGTGTGCTTCGTTACTTTCGTTTGGGTCGCGTACGCCAATGCAGTATCGCCGTCGTCAAACAATGCCTCCGGCTGTTGTAGCACAACTGAAGGGGATAAATTTTGTGGTAGCGTTTTAGACTTGGCGCGCAATAGTAGCGGTGTTGTATTGTTATTCTGCGCATTTGGTTTAACAGCTGCTGCCGCTACGCTCAGTAAATTGTGTTGTTCGACGCTGGGCACCGATAAGATATTCGTGCGCGAACGTGATTTCATCATTTTGATAGGCGTCGAGGTGTTCGTTTGTATGCGGCTTATCTCTGAGTCATCATCGTCGTCGTAGCCTTCGACCGCGCCCTCGCCCTCACCCTCACCGTCGTCGTCGGCACGCTCGTACTCGTCGTACTCGCACTCGGCGTCTACGGCCGCGTTAGTGCGCTTCTTATCAATGGCGGTATCCACCAAATTCGTTTGCATTGTGGTATCATTGTCACCAATATTTATGTTTGAGTCGTGCATAGCGTTGGCACGATTTTTGCTGCCGACACGTTTGCCATGTTTTGTGCGCTCTTTACCGTTATCACTGATACTATTACAATTATTGTTATTATTATGACTGGTTCTTGAGCTGCGCGCCTGTTTAGTTGGGGTCGCCAGCATGATATCGTCCTCACTGAACTCAACCAAATTGCTTGGGTTTTGCGATTTTGTGGGCGTTGTCGTCTTTGCAGTGGGGGTCTTAACGTTTGCTGTCGTCGTTTGCATGGTCGCTTGCAAATGCTCGTCGTCCAAACTTATGCCATTCAAGACGATGCCATAACGTTTAGTCTTCGCGTTAACGCTGCTTTTCGAGCCTACCGACTTGTTTGTTAGTGAAGCCGTTGTGGCGTTGCTTGCTATTGAGCTCTTACTGCTCGTACTGTGTCGCTTCTCCGACTTCTGCGTTAGCCGGCCCAGTTTGAGCTTCTCCTTATCCGCCTTTTTCGTGTTTGACGTGATTTTGACCTGCTCTGCCACACCGCCATCGCTCTCCTCGTCCAAATCTGTATCGGCTGTGGCGCCACCGCCGCTAATTGTCCAATTGAAACCACAGGGTGGTGACATTTTCTTTCCGCTACTGCGTTTCACAACACCACCACTGGTTGCGCTGCTACTCGCACTACTGCTACCGCTACCGCCGAGCCCCAAAGTGCTATTGGTGCGTTCGAAGAGCAGTGCTGCCACCTTTGATGTTGCGCTGGCGTTCTTTAGCGATGTGGACTTTTTCAAATTATTATTATTACTGTTCTTTTCCGCTTTGCTCTTGCTGCCGCTGGCGGAGAGGCTACCGCTACTACTCGCTACACTCTTACGTTCCGGCGTCGTGCTTGTCGTACTGGCGTTGGAGGCACTCGATTGTCCACCCAAACTGCTGCTATCCGCATGCAGGGACGAGCTACTGTTGCGCTCTACCGCTTGTTTGGACAGCTGTGTGGCGTGGTCGCCGTCGTCGTCGTCGTCTTCGATAACTAAGGGCACGTAGAATGTGGAACGGCGGCGCTGTTGTTTCTCCTCAGCCACGTTACCGTTTTGACTTTGGTTATTTGTTGTTGGTGTTGATGTTGCTGTTGTTGTTTTTATTGCTGGTGTTGGCGGTGTTGGGGGTGTGACGGTTGTGGCGCGCGCCTTAGTGGCGCTGCTGCTTGGCGTCGTGTGGTTCAGTAAGAGTGTAGTATTTGAGATTTTGTTATTGTTGTTGTATTTTTGTGGCGTCGTTTCAATGGCTTGCAACATTTTTGTGGCGCTTTAATGTTGCTGTTGACATATATGTATGTATGTATGAGTTTTGGTTTAGATGCGTCTCTGATTATGGCGCAGCGAAGTCATGCTTGACTATTTCCGCACATAAGTATATAAACATACACACAAAACATACGTGAATTTGTTAAAATGTATATATATATATATAAATATGCTGCTTCACGGCTTTTGTAGTCTGCTGGGGTGTGCTTTAGGGTTAAGAAAGGCAGAAAGGTTGTCGAATGGCAGCTGTTTTGTGAGTTTGCATTGACGGTTATGTACATATACATACATATGTACACATATATGTATGTACGTAGAGTTTTGATAACGTTTTTGAATTACTTTGTTTTATGGCAAATCAATCACAGTGTCACAAAGTTATTGTTAATTTTAAAAAATTATTTTTACAAAACTTTTTAAGTGCACTTTTCACTACGCAGATATTTTATTTAAAATTTTAGAATATTTAAAAAAAAATGTCATTATTTTTCACTTTTCATATTTTTTTTATTTTTTTGACAAAATTAGTTATATTTATTTGGTCGCTTTTGCATTTTTTTGGCGTTTTTGGTTTTTCTGTTGTAGAAAAATTGCATAAATAGTATTCAATAATTAATGATATTCAAGTAATTTACTGAAATATTCATTTTGTTTTGCTTGAGTTACCATTTCTTAATTTTGTTTTTTAATTATTTTTCACTTTTCATATACATATGTGTGTTTATATAGTATTTTTTTTTTTTTGCAAAATTATTATACCTTTTTGAAATTTTTTTTAAAAAAATAAATATATTAAAAATTATATTATAATTATTTAATTATTTTGCTCAGCTCATACTTAATTTGACGATAAAATATCGCTTTTTACTGATTTATAATATTATAATAATAACACATTTTTTATTAACGGTGAAAAAAACTTTTTAAATAAAAAAAGTAAAAAATGTTTTTAAGCAAGGAACGAATTTATGAAATTTTCGAACGGTTGGTCTTCTATTTAAAAATAAAAAATCAATTTTTTGGTAGCTTCGGAGTAGCCAAAATCCAAAACAGTTCACTATTCACTCAAAAATACGATTTTTTGTAATTCAAACTTTTTTTAATTCGCTCTATTTATTAGGAAACAATTTACTAATAATATAGATTTAAGTAATTAAAAGTTGCACATAAAAAGTCTTAATTATTTTCATTTATATTATGTATATTTTTTATTATGTATATTTATTTTATTATGTATATTTGTAGTTTTAATTATTTTCCTTAATTTACATAATTTTTATTCTTTTCATTTTGCTACTTTAATTTATTTTATTTATTTTTCATTTATTTTAATTTCCATTCATTTAACTTTCATTTTTTCTAGTCTATAATTTTTAACCATTTCCTATGCATTCACTTCTTTCATAAAATTTTTATTTATTTTTATTTAAAATTTTTTGAACACAATTTTTACTTTATTTTTATCTGATTTTATTTACGTTTAATTTAATTTAATTTAGCTCAATAGTTTTATTTATTTTATTATATATTTATATTTATTATAAAAGTTGTTTTAATACAAATTTACTTCATTTTAATTAATTTTTATTTATTGTGTTAATATTTTTTTATTTGAGTACTAATTTTATTTACTTTATTTTGTTCATTCAAGTAAATTTTATTTTAGTTTAATTTTTAAAAATTATTTTTTCTAAAATTTATTTTATGAATTTAAGTTAAATATTACGAAATTATTTTTTTTTATTTTTTCACTTAAATCAATATTTTTCCATTAATATTGCTTATCTTAATTTACATTTTATTTGATTGATTTTTACGTTTCTTTTATTTAGTTTATTTTATTTCATAACTTTTTTAAAGTAATTTTTAATGCTGGGATTTATTTACTTCATTTATTATTTTTTTATTTTATTTAGTTTGATGAGTTTTGTTTAATTCAATTTATATTAATTATTTAATTTAATTATATTATTTGCTATTTTCTTTTAATTAATTTATTTTAAGTTAGATTAATTTATTTAACTTATTGATTAATTAAATATTTAACTTTAACTTTATTAATATTTATTTTATTTAGTTTTGGTGAGTTTTGTTTAATTCTATTTAACTGTTTAAACTATTATTTAATCAACTTATTTTATTTGATTATGTTTTCTTTTCTAATTTCTTTTAATGAAATTTAATTTCATTTAATACTAGTTTGTTCAATTTTATTTAAATTAATTTAAGTAAATGCAATAATTTTGTTTGAACTTTATTTAAATTAAATTATGATCACCTACTAATTTTTTTAAACTTCATATTATTATAAATTGTGATTTAATTTCATTTAATTTCGTTAAACTAACTTTATTATTATATTTTAATTTAATTAACTTTTTTATTTAATTTGCTTGAATTACTTTAATCCTTTATTAACTAATTAATTGTTTAATTTAATTTATTCAAATTTTAACTCGTTAATTTAAGTGGCATTATTTTTTAACTAAAAAAGTGAAATTTAATTTATTATTCGTTTACTTAGTTTAATTTAATTTTACTTTCTTTCATTTAATTCAATTTAATTTAGGTTTATTTTATTTAATTTTAGTTTATTTGACTTTCAACAAACGATTTTTTTTGTATCAAATTTATTTTTATTTGTAACTATTTTTTATTTCTATTTTATTTGAATTTAATTTTGTTGTTTCACTTTATTTAGTTTAATTTACTTTAAGTGTTTTTAGCTCATTTCATTGAATATCAACACATTAATTTATTTTAGTTTTTTTTTAATTTAATCTTAATTTTTACTCAAATTTTACTTTGTTTCGGTTACCTTAATTTAATTTTATTAATTTACTTTTACATAATTTAATTGTACATAGTTTGATTTCATTTAATTTTACACAGTTTAATTTAATCAAATTGACTTTACACAGCTTAATTTAATTTAAATTATTTTTATGTTATTTTTTAAATTATTTATACTTATTTTTTACTTCTTCAATTTTATTTTATGCTATTAACTCTTTTTTTATTTTATTTATTTATATTTTTAATTTTTTTTTTTTTTTTTTATTGACATTTTCTTTTAATTCTCACGTTTGCTAGCTCATATTCTTGGTAAAGTTTGCTATAATATTTGTAATGAAATTTTTATTATTTTTTATATTTTCTTTAAATTTTCTTTTTCTCCATCAAAATTAGCTATGAACTGGGCTTTAATTTCCTACAGCGCCCTTTTTACTTCTTTTTATTGCACTTTTCCAGTTCTTTGTTTAACGTACTTCTTCCACTGCAATTTGATGATCAAAACTGCATTTCTGCAGAACTTTTTACACTTATATTCGCTTTTTCTCACCTTTCGATTATCTTAAAATCTACTCCTTTACAATTTTCTTAATTTTTATAGATATTTAGTTTATTTTTTCGAGTATTAAAAATCGCTCTGTGTGTACTTTTGTTTTTATTGGTGTTGTAAATGTGAAATTCCAAACACGTTTTACGTTTACTCTACACTTGTGTATTTTCTTATTATTTTTCTTTTTCTTATTATTTTATCACATTTTTGTATGCTTCTTATGTGCATAATGCATAAAGCTAGCGAATTGGAATTAGAAAATGGAATAAGAATGAAGCAGCAGAAAACCAAAAACCGAATATCCACAGAGAGTAGTTTAATTTACTTATTTCTTTTACGTATTAAGCCACACTTTGAAGAGCCAAGCACTGGTTTATTTCAATAAAATTCTATTGCTTCAAAGACACGCTCAAATAATTTATTGAAATCACTTTTTATATTATTTTTTTTTTTTGTTAAAATTCTGTTTTTAAAAAACTTCAATACGCTTGTATTATTCGTCTTCCGCTTTTAACCGTCACTATTCACACACTCGTACGATCAAAACACCGTCTCACACTCAACTGAATTCAATTCAAAAATTCAATATCCATAATTCCATGCCATGAGTGAATTGCTGCTCGAGCGAGTGAGTTTACCTACTGACAACGGAATAGTAAAGTAGCGAGTAGAGTCAGTCTGGTCAGCCATCTTCAGCGCCATCGGAAGTTGTGCACTTTTCGAGTTGTTTGTCAGTTGCATGCGGGAGAGTAGCTCGGTTTTGCCGCTTCCACTCGCTCGATGCAGTTTGTTGATCGTTGAGCGCGTTTAGATGATGATGTTTCCAATAAGCGTTGCCCTATTGGTTTGAATGTTTAACGGTAGTTAATTGTCAAAGAACATGATTAAGAATTTAAGGAATGGAGTGTCGAAACAGAACTCCGAGATCTTAAACTAGTAGTTCTCGTGAATTTATATTTGCCAATCAGATTAACCCCTCGCTAACAACGAATTTCCACAAATGAGTGATCTGATAATCAGTTATCTGAATCTGATTGAGTGTTTGGAGCTGAGGCATGTGAAGCATATAAAAGTTGAAATCTGTTTTATTCCTCTTTATTACTTTCCCCGTCTTGTTATTTGTTCACGGAATCGGGTGGAAGATGTGGAATATGCGAACTTCGGCGCATAAGTTCAGCCTGGTTTGAAGTGTTGATTTTTAGCCCCAAGTTAAGCAGATCGCAAATTTTTTGAGATCTTGAGGTGACCTTACAACTAGATATCTAAATCTAATTGGGAGTTTGAAACAAAGAAAACAAGAAAGTCAAGCAATGCCTGAGGCACCGGTTTGTTAAACACTAGATCGGTCTCAAACCAAAGCATGAACAATTTCAACTCTCTCTTACTGCGCTTTCTTATTTCTCTCGTTTTTTAATATTTTCAAGGAATTAGATAAATGATGTTGCCACTGCTAGTATGCCGGAAATCATGTCTAAATTTTTGTTACGGCAAAAGTGTTCCCCAGACAATTAAATTTTCCATACCCTCAAAGCCTCGGAAACCGAGTTCCGATGTATGAAAATGTCAAAGTCAAATGTCAAATTATTTCATATCATCTCAATAAGGCAAGCTCTTCTCACTAGAGATCTAAAACTGAGAATATCCAAGATCTTTGGATTAAAGTAAAAAGAAGGAGTAATAGAAAGAGTTGGTTTAAGCTGCTTAAGTTCGAGTTCCAAAATTAATTAAACTGAACTCAACCCATAGCTAAGAGGTTTGTTTCAAAAAATTGCAAATATTCTACCAAAAACTTTAAGAATGGGACTGGAAGACGCGATCTTCTGTTGGCCAACAAGAGCAGGTGAGATCTTCTCACTTGAGATTTAAAAATGTATCAAATGGTTAAAAGTCCGTGAGCCACCTCGTTACCGTGAGATCGACTCACTGAAGAACTAAAACTGAGATTCAAGACCTTTAGATCAAGACCTGTAGATCAAAGTGTGGAGAAAATGTAATAGATGAAGTTGCTTTTAAACCACTTAAGCTTGAGATCGAAGGTCAATTCAACTTGATAGGAAGGAAGAAATAGTGAGTAACCGCTCTGGATAAAGTTTGTAGCGTAAAAGGGTAAGGTTCAATGAAGACTGACTACAGAAATGATCCTGTGAAGTATAGTCTTAAAATATATAAAAGGGTAAGATGACTTACTTTAATGGACCATGCTTTACAGAGCCAGTTAGGCCGTCAACAGTAGAGTAGAGAAAATCAGAGTTTCAGAAATTTTCGAAGTAGAAAGAAACATTTCAAACTAAGAGCTTCACCTTAGAAGACAATTACAATAGTTAGAGTGACTTGTGCTTAAGTCAAAACGATTTTTGTGTAGAAAGAGACATTATTTTTCGACGCTTTTTTTTAACTGTCAAGGGGTCCAAATAGTTTTTTGGTATTTTTTTCATACAGAATAACTTTTGATCTATTTTATTTCATCTATAATAATTTTATAGTTACGGCTCGCTTAGTCTCTCGCGCCTATTCAGAGAGGTTTTTATGCTAAATAATCCGAGAGAGCCAACTCCGCTACGGCCATACAGTAGCCAATCGGATAGTAATGTGCGCTACCTGGGGCAGAGAAAGATCCAAATTTTTCTATCAAAAGCACTCACCTCTCACGGTAGGTAATATTTCTGAATTTAAAAAGAATAAGCTCTTCAAAAAATTCCATCAGGCACTCATAGGCGGCTTAGGAAAAGCACTGACTCCCTTTATTTGTTGGGTAGAAAGGTCAAAGCGCGGACCAACGCAGTTGCACAGGGTTGATTTTTTTTTGTCTCGCCACATCTTTTCATTTTTTTAATATTCAATTTTTGTTTCTTAATCGATATAAATAATTTTTGTCTATATAAATATTAAAAAAAAATCTGAAAATAAAATTTATAAATTATTTACAAAGAACAGTGGCAGCACCGCAATGGTATATTTTTAGCATGGTAAATACTTGAAATTCATCATTATTCTACTAATGCGAACACTACTTCATCAAATTGAATGACACAAGAAGTATTTTTCATTTTTCTTCCATATCGATATATGTATGTACATATGTATGTCTATAAAAGAAACAAATTACTATGTTTGCATATTGAAAAAATCCGGTTTTGCGTCAACCAACAGCGCAACTTCCAATGGCTTTGTTATTATATTTTTTAACTACATACATATACACCTCATTACCTCAAATGAGCGCGAGCGCGCGCTCAAATAGAGAGCTGAGCGCTTGCATTGCTACTGAGTTATTGCTTTTTTATTGAGTTAATTTATAGAGTGCTCAACTTACTCGTTGCTTTTGTTATTTGTTTTGTTTTCTTACTTGTATGTTTCCATGGTTTTGTTATGGTTTCTAATTTATTCTTGTACACTCTGTTATGCATTTTTCATATGTTGTATTACATGAATTTATATCATATTATTTATTTTTTTCAATTTTTCTTTTATACGTGATTTTTCTTCGACTTCAATGGAGTGAAGATTGCTGATGGTTGGGGATTTATAACAACGTATGTCTGTTTGTATGTATGTATGTATATTGAGTACGTAAAAATGTAGCTCGAAGTATGGAACTACATACATATAAATATACATATACATATCACCATAAAGGCTTACATACGTACATATGTTTGTACGCACACTCGTTCGGTATTTGGAAATGTAATTTTGAAATTGAGTAATGTAAAGCGTGTTGGGGTTTTTGTGTATGCGGCAAATGTGCGATCAAGAAGCTCCAAATGATTGATCATTACAGTTATTATGACCATTTTTTAACTTTACATATTCACTTTGGAAGATAATTTTCCGCGTATTTTATATTTTATACGTCAAGAATTTTAATTTTGATGATAAAAGTAGGCCGGTGTGTTTTTAGTTCACATAGATATGAACTGTATGGAAAAATTTTAATTATTTTAATTAAAATATTTTTCCTACATGAAATTTTTTTAAAACCTCTTTGTAGAATTTACAATTTTATTTTTTTTTAAAAAAATATATTTAAATAAAATTACTTAAAATATATAATATTTGATAAAGCTAAATAAAATAATATAAAAATAAATGGAATAAAATAAAATCAAACAAAATAAAATAAAATAAAATAAAATAAGTAAATGTAAATAAAATTACATGAAATAATAATAACATTAATAAACTAAAATAAAAATACAAATAAAATTACAAATACAAATAAAAAAAAATAAATTAGAATAAAATGAAATAAAATATGATAAACTAAAACAAACAAATTAATTAAAATAAAATTAAATAAAATATAGCAAATTAAAATTAAATAACATGAAATAATAATAAAAATAACAAACTTAAATGAAATAAAAATAAAATAAAGTAATATAAAGTTAAACAAAATAAATTTGAATAAAATAAAATAATCTAAAATAAAATGAAAAAAAAAATAAATAAATTAATTAAAATAAATCAAAATAAAATAAGAAATAATAATAAAGCAAATTAAAACAAGATAATTTAAAATAATTATTAAAATAATAAACTGTAATGAAATAAAAATAAAATAAAGTAATATAAAGTTAAACAAAATAAATTTGAATAAAATAAAATAATCTAAAATAAAATGAAAAAAAAAATAAATAAATTAATTAAAATAAATCAAAATAAAATAAGAAATAATAATAAAGCAAATTAAAACAAGATAATTTAAAATAATTATTAAAATAATAAACTGTAATGAAATAAAAATAAAATAAAATAATATCACGTAAAACAAAATAAATTAAAATAAAATGAAATAAAATAAAATAAACTAAAAAGAAATAAATGTAAAAATATATTAATTAAAATAAAATATAATAAATTAAGAAAAAATAAAATATAGTAAATTTAAATAAAATATTATGAAATAATAATAATAAAAAAATAAACTGAAATGAAATAAAAATAAAATAATATAAATTAAAAAACAAATAAATTAGAAAAAAATGAAATAAATATAATAAACTAAAATAAAATGAAAAAAAAATTAATTAATTAATTAAAATAAATTAAAATAAAATAAGAAATAATAATAAAGCAAATTAAAATATGATAATATTAAATAATAATCAAAAAAATAATAAAATGTACTGAAGTGAAATAGAATAAGGTAATTTTAAATAGAACAGAATAAAGAAAAATAAAATAATATCAAAAGAAATGGAATAGAATAAAATAAAATAAATTAAAATGAAATCAAACAATAATAAATAATAAATAAAAAAAAAAAAAACAAAAATAAAATACAATAAATTAAAATATATAAAGAATAAAATGTAATGAAAAGAAATCATATAAAAAATAATATTAAATAGAACAGAATAAAATACAAAATAAAATAAGATAAAAAAGTAAAATAAAAAAATGAAAAAAATTAAAATAAAATAAAAGAAAAAAATTAAATGAAATAAATAAACTAAACGAAAACAAAGTAAAGTAAAATAAAACATGAAAAATATATTAAATAAAATAAATTAAAAGAAAATAGCATTAAGACAAATATATTAAGGTTAAAAATGAAATTTATTGAGATAAGAAAAAAATAGTGTAAACTAATCAAAAAAATAAATAAAATTTAAATATTTCATAAACTGTATTAATTATTACTACAGTAGTAAGTAAAATTTTGTAATTTAAAAAATATATATAAATAAATAAATATTATTCAGCAAAATTATATAATTTTACTTTATTTACATACTTATTTTCTTGAATCATTTTTTAAATCAAAACAACGAAAGACCTAAAAAAAATGTTAAAAGACCATTTTTTATTGAAATAATTTTTTTTTGTAAACTTTTTTTTTAATTTTTTTGAAGTTGTTGTATTTTGTTCCACATCCAGCCTGCTGAATCATCAAAATCGATCATCTAACGAGCCGTTCAGCTCTGTTAACCCTTTACTTTCCTTCTATACATATGTTTGTACATGTGTGAATGTGTGTACGTATACCCTATTAGTGTGCTATCACAGCGCGCGATCACCGCCACCCAATGTGACACGCTGCATGCAACATGCGTCAACAAGATCAAGCTGCGCGTCAGGATACTTAGGTCATTGGGGAGCGCAAGGCTAAACAAAGGTAAATTTTTTTCATTATTAATTTTATGAAATACTTTAGTAGTTTATTGCTTTTTCCGTTCGGGTATAATTTTTATTTTATTATTACTACTTTTAATCTCTTATTATTAATTTTTTTCTTTTTTTTTACTTTATTACAAACAAAGGGAAGGCAAGTAGGGAGGGTGATTATGTATATTTCTTTCTGCTCATTTGCATATCAGCAATTCCAGCATAAAAGTACCTATATATATATATAAGTAGTGTAAGTGTTTCGTGTCGGGGCTAATTAGGGGCCGGAATTCCTCTTGATTTCCGGCAACGGGGACCGGGGGAGGTGCCGATCCTTCAGGAAGCTGTAAACCTATCTAAATGCTTGTCGCCAAGCTCTCAATAAAAACATTGGTTTTTTAGTATAACAAAACATTAGCGTTTATTAAAGAAAATATTAAAAGGTTTTATAAAAAATGTATATATGTATGCAAACCCTACATAACATATACAAATACTCTCACCTGAGATGTTGCTGCTGTGGCTGCTGGATCGAAAGAAGGCCTTCAGGCCGGCAACATTGGCCTTTTAAAGATTTCCACAAAAGGTGGAAATCCTAAACGGGACTAACTGGACTAACTGGACTTTTCCCATATATTTGAAGAGTCACTTAGTCGAGAACAGAAGACAGAAGACAGCAGCGACATCTCCAGGTAGAGGCTATGGCTGCTGCTCAGGGTTGCCCGCGTAAACAGTAAGTATGTATGTATGTGTGTTAATACTTAGTAAGTACTGAAAGACAGCTGAATGGCAGTTTTTTTCTCGGATATCATAAAGGTGTAATTTAGACGCAGTAGAGTTATTTTTGTGGTGTAGGAAATTAATTTTTGTGAATATGGCATACATACATATGTACATATTCAAAAAAAAAATTTTGTAACCAACAACGGAAATGTATTTGGAAATATTACCGATGCTGACTAAAAATTATGTATATATTTATTTATATTTCCTTTCCTTTGCATTTTAATTATTTAATATATATATATATGTTACATATGTATATAT